ATTAGCAGAAGTTTAAGAAATTAAAATGTTACAGTTGTTTAAACCATATACTCACATTGAGTAGGAAATGCACATTAGACATAACGCTCAAATCATTGCCGGAGATGGTCAGCAGGCGTAGCTTCTTATTCTTTGAGAAAGTGTTGGGATTGATGACAGCCAAACCGACATTCGTCAAATTCACCGAGTATAACTCATCCAAGCCATGGAAAGCATCGGGATGTAGGAACTCAATAGTGCAATTTGAAATCTTGATCGAGGACACATATTTCAAACCCATCTGCAGGAAGAATTCTGGTCCCAACAAAATGGGATATTTTGGACCAACATCCGTTACGATCAAATCGGTGATGTCAGAACCGAATTTCTGTGTTTCAGGATCAAAACGGCTGCATGTCGCTACCAGATAGCTGTTAACGTTGCGTGCGCAAACGCAGTATCTTGGGCAAGGCACATTCTGATTGAAAACGATCTCCTCCTCATCGTTAATATCGTCGTCTTCATCACCATCATCGTCGTCATCATAGTCATCCTCGTCCAAGTCTTCGATTTTCTTCTCACTTTGCTCCTGAATGTTATCCGTTGATTTCGACTTGGAAGATGACTAAAGCGTATACATAAATGTGAATGTAGTTTATTTATATACATATTAAGTATGTGCATACGCAACCCTTTAACACTTGCACACACTCACCTGTTTTTCTTCCTTGATCGGTTTCATTTCCACCCTCTTGTTGCTCTTCGTTGCCGCATTACGTTCTCCCGTTGGCTTCGCTGTGGTGCTGGTTTTTGTCTTTTGAGCAGATTCTGTATTGACCAACTCATCATCATAGCTATACTCATCATCATAATCGTCAGCGTCATAATCGTAGTAAGCCTCTTCGCTTTTATTATTCGTGACGGTGGAATTCTCCGTCTTGAATTTATTCGGCAACAGTTTATTGAATCTAAAATGAAAACTTGCACGGTCAAGAGCGTTCAAATAAGACGGCGGCTTAACATAAGCTTGGTTACCTTGGATCGTCGGCAAGTGCGGCGCTATGTTTTGATGCTTCGATCAGATCGTTGAGTGTCTCATCGTTCATCTGTTGATGGTCGCCATGTTCTGTTTCTTCGATGAGTGTATTCAATGCCTCATCGCTTAACTGTGGATGCGTCGCAGCTGTAGTTGTTGTTTTAGTGGATTTCTTGGCATGCTTTGTCGCCGCTACTCTTGCGGGACGCACGGTTTCTGTGGTTGTTGTAGAGGTTAGGGGCATGTCTTTCACCTTGGGTGTGGAAATTTTGATGCCGTGCTCTGTTGAATGTGCCAACTCCAAGATATTGTCATTGGCCTCATCGTCCAAAAGACTATTACTGTCGAATGTCGAATCGACCGAATGAATTGAGCTGGTAAATGTTAGCTGGAATGCACTAAGTGCGATTAGCACTAGTAATACTAGTGCATGCTGGTTACCCATTGTGATTGCTGAAAAAGAATGAAATAATACCAAGAATTAGTAAGACGTTTAATTTTGCAAAAAAAAAAACAAGTTTGAAAAAACTTAACAAAGTAAAACATTGAGTAGTAAATTAATTTATAAAAAGATTATCAAAATCTTAACTATAAATTAAATTTATAATCATTTTATAAACTAAACACATTTAATACCTTTTCCATCTCACTAACAACATTTTATCAGCTTAAGCATTTGCCATTTATTTTTTGGTAGGCGTTGTTGCTGTTCTATAATGTTCTATTTTCTATTACGTATATACATACATACATACATGCACCTACATACATATGAACATTAGACCGTACCTAAAAAAAAAAGTTCGCTGTACACCTTCGAATGATAAGTACATAATTTTACAGGCAATTTCGGTATTTTAATTTTTTTGTTTGTTTTTTGGTCGATCGTAGAGGTCACCTTTTTTATGTTTTTCGCCTTTGCTTCGGCATTTACAGTCGGATTTTAAAGGCGTTTTTGTTGTTCCAGTTCAGTGATCTAGTACGACCCACCAGATGTCAGTTCTTATCACCCTAACGTGCCACCCTAATGCCAGTAAATTAAAGCTTGCCGAAAATCACTAATCTTTTGCTAAGGGACTATTTCGATTATTCCAGTAAAACTTTTTAAAATTTGTTTTTTTTTGCCGAATTTTGGTATCGCCGAAAAATGTAAAAAGGCTTGACCACAGATTTGTTTATTTTTTTTTTGAAATTGCCTTGTAAAAAAATCTTTTACCGAATTCAGGTGTCGCCGAAAAATATGAAAATTCGATCACTAGGCTCGACTAATTTCTTTTTTTCGAAATTTCCTAGCAAGAAAATGATGCCCAGTTGCGCCAATCAATTTGAAAATTTATCAGACTATTAAAATTTAAAACGAAACATTTTTCGAACAAAATTATGTCTAGTAAACAGTCTGATAAATTGTAAAATTTATTGGTAAAACTGGGGATGAGTACTTTAGACTTAGGCAGGAGTGTACGGCGAACTTTTTTTGTTTGCTGCTAAGGTGGTACAGTCTAATGTACGTATGGGGCAGCTCCATTTTCGTTTAACATTTTTAAACTCATAAATAAGTCGCACCACGTACATATCTGCGTATACTTTGCAAGATTATTTGTGACAACACTTAAGTATCTACAAATTGTTTATACTTCAATTGTACAGAAATCATGTTGCTAAACAAACATACACACACTCGCACACTATCTGCCTGGTTGGCGCTCAAAAACCTGATTGGAATATGCATTGTATGTTAATGAAGATTTCTCCAATATTAAATTAACAAGTTGAACTTAATAGAATTTCATAGAAAAATTCCTTGTCTACTATGAAAAAAGAAAACCAATCAATACCTCGCAGATCAAATCAATGAAATATATATATTTTTTTTTTCGGTAACCTAATGTTGACTTCAGTTATTGAAACTACCTTAAAAAAAATAACGATTTTACAACAATTGAGCTGTCGGAAAAATTCGTGCTTTGGCAGTATTGGAAGGGAATTATCGATTATAAAATGCTATCGCCTAGTCAAACGATTTTTTTTTTGGACTTTTCAACTGATAATAATTAACCAACTTCACAACGTCAGGTCACACACAATTTTGATGACGCACCAAAAATTAAGAGAACTTGGCTGTTAGGTTTTGATGCATCCGCCATTAAGTCGCGCCCTGCACCCCCAGATTATCATTTATTTCGATCTCTGTAGAACTCAGTGTTTTAAGTGTTTTGCGTTTACTTCAGAATAGGTCTACGGGAATCACTTGTTTCAGTTTGTCGCCCTAAAACCATAGATATTTTTCAGTGGTTAACGGTTTACGACGATTTCTGCAGGAACTCAAATAGGAAATATCAATGGCCTTAAAAAAAAAGGAGTTTGGAGTTTCACTATTTTACCATTGAAACTAAGAAATTTTGTGCTGCTTTTTTTTAGCAGTATGACGCATTTTCAAATTTCTTCAACCTTTTATACAGTTTGTGTATAACTGAAGTAATTTTCTAAGAAACTTCCTTGAAGGTCATTTTCGGAAGCACAAGCAAAAAAAAAATACCAAAGTTGATTTCCTAAATAAAACTTAAGCACTTACATAATATTCCGCTTATTTGTTATATTTAGAGCGCATACTTACATTACATAAATATACACACGTACTCGTGCTATTAAAACCGAGTTATGTCAAGAAATGCATCAATATTTATGAGAGAATTTTATCCAGACTTTATATACTCTAATCTAATTTTAATTTCCGTCAGCATCAACTTGTTAATCGTGTCTTGCCGCCGTCAACTGTATTTGGTGATATCCACTTTTAAATAAATAAATATTTTGTACAGAGGTAAAAATACGAGAAAACAACGCAACACAAAAAAATTAAGAACCTGTTGATTTAATGTTCTGTGTTTTGATTGTTTAAGAAATCTGTAGCTTAACGGAATTTAATACTATCGTTGTATGAGTATTTAGCTATGCTTTTGCGTACATATTTTGCAAAAAGAGAAATTGAAAATCATAAAATATAGTAGATACATATATGCATTTAATTTGTTATAGACATTAACGTGTGTGTAGATTTACATATATGTATGCATGTAACATATGTTCATATAAATATGTAAATATATGTATGTATATAAATCTGCAATAAATAATATTTTGATCGTGATAAATGGAAAACAAATAATTTACTTCAATGCAATGAAATAAATAAGACAAATAATATTTATGTACAACTTCAGCTCTGCGCCAGTAAAAAAATCTGTTACCCAGAATGCGCTAAAACGCTGCTTAACCCGTTAAAATGAGCACCTTTAATTTTTTTAATGCTAACTTATGTAAACCCGGTAGTAGTATTAAATTCAAATATTTATATCAATCTGTAAAAATGACTTTTAGTTACAAGGAAGCAGTTACTTCAGCGATAAGAGCAGTGAATAAGTTCTACAATACCACTCAAGCATTTCGAAAGAACTATTCATGTTGATTTTAAAGTGACTTTGCCTTTTAAGAGCATACTTAGACACAACAGAGGTTCATCTCAAGGTGACTAGGAAAATAATTGTGTATAGAACCGCTTAATAATGTTTACTAGCACCTCAAGCAACTAATTTATGTGCCAATGAAATTGTATATTATGATTAGCAATTGTCAAGTGCTACAATGTTTAAAATAATGGTAGTTTAGGGGACGAGAAAAACAGAATTCGATCCAAATAAGCAACATTTTCACCCATATATTGACAATTAATTTTTGTGTTATTTAATCTTTATTTGTTTTTCAATAAAAATATAGTCTATTCTTTAACAAAAAGCGGTTTAAATCAAAGTAGCAAACTTTGTGCTACATAAAAAAAAAATCAACTAAATTTCGCAAAAATTTCGAGCGTTTTAATTAGATTTCTTATAAATATTTTCGCTACAAAACTGCATACTCAAAATCTTTATCAGAAATCGAATTATCGAAAAAATATTTAAGAAGTTTTTATTTTTGTTTTAATGTTGCATAAAGTTTACAACCTGGATTTATATGGGTTTTGTTAAAGAATAAATTATATTAAAAAAAATAATTAAGATTAAATAATAAAGAAATAATAATAAAAAATACTTGCACTTTATTATGCTTGAATTTAATAAGCTATAAAGCTGCATACTAAACAATTTTCTAGAAATTAAAATTAAAATCCATGGAGTTGGGATGAAAAATTTGTGGAATTTTTGTACAAAGTCTGAAATTTAGATTTATATGGTATTTGTTAGATAAAGGCTATACTTTCATATAAAAATAATGAATGGTAAAGATTGCTTAAAATAAAACATGGTAAATAAACAATAAACTAGAAATGAAGAAAAATTTATTGCGATTTATGTTACTTTGTGTAACGAAAAGTAGTGGGCGTGAGCGTGATTTTTTTTTGAGGATCGCATGAGGGTTAATTGGGACCTATTTTCACTCTAAGCTAGCGATATATATTTTTATATGTATGCACATATATATTTCATTGCAATATATTCTTTTAAACAGATTTATCTTTAAAAAATATTCTTGGAATGTCTTTGAAGGAACCTCTTCGAGCAGTTCGATACAAAACTTTGTTTTTATCCATTTTTCACTGCCTTGACTTCCTGAAAGATAAGTCGAACCTTCGATAAACTTAAGGCTCAGTTATGCATACTTGGCGTTGCATGAGACTTGTCACATAAGGAATCTGTTAAATGAGTTTTGCGTGTAAGCATAGCACTTCACCTGCTGAAGTCTATTGGGGTTTGATTTTTACGTAAAAATGGTATGACAGTGCAAAGTGTGCATAACTGGGCCATTAACATTGGGAATAATATTTGGAGCCAGCTTATTCCATAGTTGAGTAATATACACTTTTTATACAAAAAATAACCTCTTTGTTGAGAGTGCTCCGCTTAGGTTTTAGGATTTACTTTTATGTTCCTAAATTTGCCATTTAATTTTTATATTTTATTTGTATGTTATTTGTCTCGTTCGGGCTGCGCCTGTATGGCTAATGATTCACTGGACTAGTTTCAATTAACATTTCGTCACCTTAGAACCAAGCAGACCTAATAAACTACTTACTTATTTGCATAAATCGTTTCATTCTTTCGCAAACAATTAACGCACAGCTTTTAATTTACACTTCATTACAATGATTGATGCATTTGTGCAATTATTATGACAATTTGTGCGATTATTTCAATGCGAATGCGGGTAAGCAAATTCCAAAGGCAAAGTCGTTTTATAAATTTGGGTATGTATACAGATTCAACTCCATGTACAGTGACTCACACAAGTGTTCACGTGGTGATTTTTTTCTTTAATATTCACAACGTTTTTCAAGTAAATTTTTTTGCTTATTATTTTTCTACAAACATATTGTCTAAGCTTTAGCCAAAGCCAAAAATTTAGGAAAATTCATCAAATTTTCATCAAAATTCCGGGCAATTTTATAGCAAATACAATTCTATGTGGTCTCATG